CTCTTCCTTCGACCATGAGATCGTATAACTCCTGGATACCGTAGGAGTGCTTTGGGTGTATCAAACGTCACAACGTAACTGGGTGACTATAAAGGTGCACTACAGGTATCTCCGAAAGTATCTATTGTTTTATATGGATCGAGACTGGGATTTGTCACTCCGTATGACGGAGAGATATCACTGGGCCCACTCAGTAATGCATCATCATAATGAGCTCAAAGTGACCAAGTGTTTGGTCACGGGATCATGCATTACGGTACGAGTAAAGTGACTTGCCGGTAACAAGATTGAACGAGGTATTGGGATACCGACGATCGAATCTCGGGCAAGTAACATATCGATTGACAAAGGGAATTGCATACGGGGTTGATTAAATCCTCGACATCGTGGTTCATCCGATGAGATCATCGTGGAGCGTGTGGGAGCCAACATGGGTATCCAGATCCCGCTGTTGGTTATTGACCGGAGAGCGATCTCGGTCATGTCTACATGTCTCCCGAACCCGTAGGGTCTACACACTTAAGGTTCAGTTACGCTAGGGTTGTAGGGATATGTATATGCAGTAACCCGAATGTTGTTCGGAGTCCCGGATAAGATCCCGGACGTCACGAGGAGTTCCGGAATGGTCCGGAGGTAAAGATTTATATATGGGAAGTCCTGTTTCGGGCATCGGGACAAGTTTCGGGGTTATCGGTATTGTACCGGGACCACCGGAGGGGTCCCGGGGGCCCACCGGGTGGGGCCACCCATCCCCGGGGGCCACATGGGCTGTAGGGGGTGCGCCTTGGCCTGCTTGGGCCAAGGGCACCAGCCCCACATAGGCCCATGCGCCTAGGGTTTAAGGGGGAAAGAGTCCTAGGAGGGTAAGGCACCTCCTAGGTGCCTTGGGGGGGGGAGGGAAACCCCCCTTGGCCGCCGCACCCCCTAGGAGATTGGATCTCCTAGGGCCGGCCACACCCCCTTGGCACCCCTATATATAGTGGGGGAGAGGAGGGACTTCATACCTTGAGTCCTTGGCCTTTGGTTGCCTCCTTCTCCCTCCCCAACACCTCCTCCACCTCCTTATTGCTTAGCGAAGCTCTGCCGGAGTACTGCAGCTCCATCAACACCACGCCGTCGTGCTGCTGCTGGTGCCATCTCCCTCAACCTCTCCTCCCTCCCTTGCTGGATCAAGAAGGAGGAGACGTGGCTGTTCCGTACGTGTGTTGAACGCGGAGGTGCCGTCCGTTCGGTGCTAGGATCTCCGGTGATTCGAATCACGTCGTGTTCGACTACATCATCCCCGTTCTTTGAACGCTTCCGCTCGCGATCTACAAGGTATGTAGATGCATCTATTCGCTCGTTGCTAGATGAACTCCTAGATGATCTTGGTGAAACGAGTAGGAAATTTTTTATTTTCTGCAACGTTACCCAACAGGGCGCCCCCGGCCTCTCGCTTCACGCCGTCCTCCGGCACCTCGAGGGCGGCAATGACCCGCCCTTGACGTACCCTCTCGCCCCGGCCCGGAGCGGCGGCCAGTGGATGCCGAGGAGGATGACATCCTCTTCTTCCTCCTCCTCCCGTTCCTCCTCCTCCGGGTCGCCGGCGCTGCTCAGTGTCAAGGCCGAGCCTGTCGAGACGCCGCTCGGCCGGCGAACACGCAACGCCGGCATCGTCATCAACGATGGCGGGCACGCCTCCTTCTTGGCTCCTCCCTGCTTCGTCAGGCCGAAGACGGTGCCCGGGCTCGCCACGGTTAAGACGGAGCCGGGCCTCTCCGACGAGGCGGCCTTGAAGTGGGGGCGCGAGGATTGGACGCGGACGAAGCTAGAGCGCCAGTGTCGCGCCCTAGAACAGTACTCCACTCGGCGCCGTGGCCGCGACGAGGGAGGCGTCGTTGTTCTCGGCGACGACGACGCGCCGCCACGGGTCCACCAGGGCGACCCCGGGCAGGGGTCCAGCAGGGGCGGCCGCATCAAGGAGGAGAAGGGCGACGATGAGGACAACGGCGATGGCGGCGGCGACGACAAGGACTTCGCCGCGCTCAGCGCGTTCTTCCTTTAGTCTAGGCCTTTATTTTTTAAGTTTTCTATGTAAAAACTATTTAAGTCGCCGAAGTATATGCCCGTTTGCTGAATTATAGCCGAACATATGTTAAAAAGAATTTAAAAAATCTTCTGGGGCGACCCTGGGGCCGGCGGCTGGGAACCCGATCGGCCCCAAGCCGATTTTTCGCCGGGTCACCCCCAGGTGGCAATTTTTCGAGCCTCCTGGAGGGCCAACGACTGAAGATGCTCTTAGGCACCTAAGTTTTTCTTCTTCAGAAAAATCTTAAAATTTAAGGCGTGTTGGCACTTAGCTCCTCACTAGCTTTTTGCCCTTGCTGCAATGACCGAGCCGCAAATTTTCTAGTGGTTCTACATCAATTGTCGCCAATGTACACCTTATACACACAATATTCTAGATTTTGGTAGGAATTAATTTGATTCATACTCTTATGAGCACCTCCGAAAGACTGAACCAACATATCATCTTGAAATTTACAAAGTCACCGGAGCCACCTCGTCGTCGACGGGAACGTCTACTCCCACTGAATGCGCATCGCCGAAAATCCTGAAATAAATTCAGGAATAGATGCGAGCACTAGGATCACCGGAGCCACCTCGTCGTCGACGGGAACGTCTACTCCCACTGAATGCGCATCGCCGGAAATCCTGAAATAAATCCAGGAATAGATGCGAGCACCAGCATTTGAACCCTGGTGGGCTGGGGATACCACAGTCCGTCTAACCATCCAACCACAGGTTGGTTCACCGATAAGATTTCATTTGGTATGGGTAGGAGAAGGCAAATACAGTTTTTAATTGAGTTGAGATTTTGATAAGATTTGGTATGAGTAGGAGAAGGCAAAGAAAGTTTTTGATTGAGTTGAGTTTTTGATAAGAATTGATTTCATTTGATTTGGTTGAGTTAATGCATGACGTGGTTTTGAAAAGTACCGATTTTGTTTTGATTTGGTTGAGATAATGCAACGCTACCAACTCTCTTTTAATTAACAGTAGAGATATTCTCTCTTGTACGGTCAGCGTAAGCTAACCATTGCTACTCGTGGATCAGCCAACCATGTTTGTTAAAGGATATCGTGTAGAAAACTTTCCATAACCATGGCTCAGTAATTTGTGACTAGCCTTGTGCTAAGTTTTGTGCCAAAAGTTTACACACCTTATAAGCGAGGGAGTACTACTGATTATTTGTAACCGCGCCACACTTCAATACTTTATCGGTCACAAACTACCTAATGTTGTACGTATCTGCTAATTTGTCCTCTAAAATTGAAAACAATTAAAAGGTTTGTTAGTTTCACAAGACACATACACCATTTGGCATTGCCTTGTCGGGCGTGACAAAGTATCTCGTGGTCCCACTCGAGAGTCACCAGCAAAGTCATGAGAAGATTATGCAAACAAAACATCAACATAATATGCATCTGCCATGCCTCCAAGCTTCAAATCTGAATTTAATCCACGGATCGGAAAACAAAAAAGACAAATCCCGTAGCAAAAGGTACTATCAAATTGGTTCTACAGTGCTGGCTGAACAGGAAATCGTAAACAGTGCCTTATTTCTACAGAGATCAGGTGACTTGCCCATAGCAAGTCACGCTGTAACTTGCGGCCCCCCGTTTGATCCAAAATGAACAACCGAGACTGAGTACTGTAGAAATAAGGCACTGTTTACGATTTCCTGTTCAGCCAGCACTGTAGATTGGGTACTGTAGACGCGTACTGTAGATATCTCACTGTTGTTCATTTTGGATCAAACGGACGAGGGGCCGCAAGTTACAGCGTGACTTGAACTTGCTATGGGCAAGTCACCTGATCTCTGTCCCATTCGGAGAAGGATGATGATGATGTGTCGCTGAAACGCCGAGCATCGCGGGTCAAGCCGACGCTCGACCCGAGAGGACGGACCAGATCCACAATAGCAGCCTGATGAAACCACTTTGTTCATTCAGGAAAAAAAAGAGAAAAGTCTAGCGGCTGCCGGCGGCACCATCATCCATCTTCCCTTCCCTTTGGTTTAATCGACGACTGTCCACAAAGACCGGGCGCAGCGACGAAGCCAGCCCAGCTCATCGACGGCCCCCTCTTCATTTACTCCGCCTGCGCTTTGTGCGCCAAGGCGGGCAGGCGGCGGCCGGGTTTACCAAATTTCCTAATTCCTCCGCATTAACTAGTTTCTTCTTCTTCCTCCCCGTCGTTGGTTGGTTCACACCCTTTCGAATAATCAAACTCTAAATCCGTTCCAACTCCATTCCCTCCCCCATTCTTTCTCTCTTATAAAAAACAAACCCGAGCTCGTTCGTACTACTCCATTATCTCCCTCGTTCCCGCTGACGCACCAGCTGAGGTGAGGGCTGCTCCTGCTCGTGTGACCTTCTTCTCTTCCGTTGGGATCTCTCCTCCTTTTTAGGATAGCCTTTCTCAGCTGCCTGCCGAGGCTTGGCTGCCTGTCTTGTGCGGGCGGGGAAGCAAAATCTCACCTGGGTTCGTCTTCCTCGGCCGCCACCTGCTCCAACCGGCGAGCCGGCCGGCTTTGGGTTCCTCGCCGCCTCGGAGCTCGGCTCGAATCCGGCCCGCGGGTTCCTGATTTCGCGCCGCGTCGAGGCCTCGGCGGGAGATTTGTGCCGGCATTTCGCCGAACGGTCTCCACGCGCGCTCTTTTTCTCTCTTCCGCCGTTTCTCGGTGCTCCGGGGCTTCTCTCCTTCCCCTTCAGTTCAGCCTAGGGTTCTCCCGTATTCCTGGAAGCATCCCTGACCTTTCAGCGGATTCTTCTCTTGGTGCTGGTATGTGTTCTTGTGAGTTTTTATCTTTTTCTTTTCTTTTTGCGTGAATGTTTTGCTGACTGCAGGAATCTGCAATTTCACCTACCTGCCTACCAGGATGCGCGGTGATTCATACTCATCATCCACGGAACATGGCGAGCTGCCGCCGCTGACATCCATGAGGAGGGCTCGGCATGTTCTGCTGCTGTGCGCGAGCAGGAGGACCAGAAACCGGCCGACGCAGTAGGCTCTTCCGTTACAGACTTCCAGTCACAAAATGGTACCGTACCACTGCTCTGCTTCTGGATTTGGTATTACTATTTATGATTATTTGTTCATTACTAGTAACAGTATCTCACCATGGATTTGGTGCTATTTATTTGTTCATTATTAGTAACACTATCTCACCATGGATTTGGTGCTATTTATTTGGTCAGTAGGAGTATTAGCAACAGTATCTCACCATGGATGGATTTGGTAATAACTTGCAGCACCCATACCCGCTCAAAGGCTCCAAGGGGGCGTCGTTGCCGCCGCGGCCGACCCTCGTCTTCCTCATCGCGCTCTTTGGCCTCTACGTATGCTACCTCTCCTTTAATCAGATAAGGATGGAGAGCAAGCATGTGGAGGAGAATGGTGCACAAGAACCAAATGAACATGTTTGCACAAAGCCTTATGTTCCAAGTGAGGAGCTGCCCTACGTGCACTTCCCAAAGCCAAAGGGTTACAGCAGGTAATTTTCCTTTTATAAGGTGGATAAACTCTTTATTGGCTTCCCCCTGGTGAGTATGTAGATTTTCTGACACATGTTTCTTTCCATAGGGCGGAATGCTCGTGTAATCCTGTTCGGTTCTTTGTGATCGTGTCGATGCAAAGATCGGGAAGTGGATGGTTCGAGACACTGCTAAACAGCCACCCGAACATCAGCTCGAATGGCGAAATATTCAACAGAGTGGATAGAAGACAAAATATATCGTCTATCGTACAAACACTCGACAAACTGTATGACTTGGACTGGCTCACAAGTGCGGCAAAGAATGAGTGCACGGCTGCATTTGGATTCAAGTGGATGCTAAATCAGGTATTTACACCTTACCTTTTTCTTGCTCCATGTGAAATATTCGAAGGTTCAGCATCTCTTTCGTAGTCCTGCTGCTTTTTTACCCGTGACTTCAGAAATTCTACGCTTTGAAGCTGAACCTTGCCATAGTTACATATATTGAAATCTAGTCTAGTTATTGTGGATGGAAATATGGAGAGCAGACTGGTCTTATGATCTGGTTTGCTTGCCAAAGGTTCAGATAATGTTGAAACTGCAGTTAAGAGTTTTAAAGTGTACCACACAATAACATGCCTGCATTTCTCATATGTCAGTGCTCTGTCATGTCACGTTAATGATACCAAACTTTTCTAAAAGCCAGGTTGGTCAATCATGATTATTGATGTTGATGTTTGTATTGTTCAGTGTACCATTGGCATTAACAACATTATGCCTAGTGATAACAAATACAACAACAACAACAACAACAACAACAACAAAGCCTTTAGTCCCAAGCAAGTTGGGGTAGGCTAGAGGTGAAACCCACAAGATCTCGCAACCAACTCATGGCTCTGGCACATGGATAGCAAGCTTCCATGCACCCCTGTCCATAGCTAGCTCTTCGGTGATACCCCAATCCTTCAGGACTCTCTTAACGGACTCCTCCCATGTCAAATTCGGTCTACCCCGCCCTCTCTTGACATTCTCCGCACGCTTTAGCCATCCGCTATGCACTGGAGCTTCTGGAGGCCTGCGCTGGATATGCCCAAACCATCTCAGACGATGTTGGACAAGCTTCTCTATGTTATCCTAGTGATAACAAATGAAAAAAAAAATCTATGTCATTAACTGCTACCGTTGTGTTTTCCAGGGCTTTATGGACCATCATGATGATATACTTAGTTATTTGAACAAGAAGGGTGTCTCTGTGATATTTCTCTTCAGGAGAAATACATTACGCAGGCTTATCTCTGTGTTGGCCAACAACTATGACAGAGATGCAAAGCAGCTAAATGGAACCCACAAATCTCACGTTCACTCGGAAGAAGAGGTATCGTCGATGCACAGAAAATTCCAGTAAATTTACTGCAATGACTTTGCTCTGTTCCCTCACGTTTATTCGCATAAATGCGGGGCACTTGTTTTCTTACCCTGGTTCCCCTACAGCTAAACTACCTCTTTGCTGATATGGAGCTCTGAAATGCTAAAATCCTAAAACTAACTTTGAACTTTTGGTGAAACTTTAATCTTCTGCTTTTGCATTTAAGAAATATTGTAACGCCTGTGTCGATAATATCCGGAAGGAGCAGAATAAAATGTTAAAACAGTGATCACTGATACACTTCCTCTCTCTTTTGAACAACCATCATAACTGACTTTTCATTTGCAACCTGTTGGTCATACTGGCTAGTGCTTTCATCTGATCAGTCTATTTTGTTCTCTGCCAGGCCGAGATACTCGCAAAATTCAAACCAGAACTGGACGTGTCAACCCTGGTTTCAAACATCAGGGATGTCGAGAAGTACATGGGAGACTGCTTGGACAGCTTCAACACGACACGGCGCATGATCCTCTACTACGAGGACATAATCAGAAACAGAAATGTACTGGAGCAGAACTCATTTGGATGCCCTAACGAAGTATCGATAGATTACGGTTTACCTTAATAGCACGTATCTGTCTCTCTGTGTGCAGGCATTATTCCAGGTGCAGGAATTCCTTGGCGTTCCGGTGAGGAAACTGGTGAGCAGGCAGGTGAAGATTCATACGCGCCCTCTTCCGGATCTTGTCAGGAACTGGGAGGATGTGAACAGCAGACTCAACGGGACAGAGTACGCCCGTTTTCTTGATGGCGCAGATTACGTGAAGTGATGCATTCGGAATTCTGATGTAGGTTCAAGATCATTTGCAAGGGGTTCTTCAGACCACAGAGTAGTGGAAGTCTGTAGACCTGTAGTCTCCAGAGGATTGATTATTTTGTACAATGAGGTAGTTAAAGTGCATGAAGCTTAGAGATCCATATGGAAATAATAGGGCAAACTGTACAGTTTTTAGGCTACGTCTTTTTAACATATTTTCTTTGGTCTTCTTCAGCTACATTTCTTCCCCCCTTTTTTTATGCTTTCTACCGGCAAATCTGTGAGCTACGAAGTAACTCACTATTTGGATAATACATATTGAAAAGAGTTAATGAAAACAAATGCGTATATTTCTCAGTACAAAGGCTAGGGTGTGTTTTGTTTTAGGCCCAAGTTAAAAAAAAAGTTTACCTTACCAAACACTCCCTCCTTTCGGAAATACTTGTCATCGAAATGAATAAAAGGGGATGTATCTAAGTATTTTCGGGCGGAGGGAGTATCTGGCTAGCCAAATTGTTGGTTTAGTTTTGGTAATATTACCCAACAAACGTCAGCTGGGAGAGGAGTGGCAAGCAAACACCATTCGACGGTAGTTTTAAAACAAAATGACTTCTATAATGAAATTGCCCCTCACAACTAAAAATGTAAAAATGCCACCTAAAACATCCGCAAATGCCACCCTTCTTGACGAACGTTTGCCGGTTAACAGGATCTTTTTGGCTGTCAATGAGTTAGCAACATTGACAAAAAAAATGAACTAAAGTGCACAAAGAGTTATTGGCCGAACTTTTTGGTCATGACTCAAAATTTTGGTAGGGTAAACTTTGGCCACCATCCAAACAAAGCTGATAGTCCATTGTTCATCCTTGGAATCGACAAAATTTCACTGAAAATGATGGACACGTGTCCCAAGAGTTTACAGTTTGTACACAGAAAAACGCTGCGGATCAACACCGGATTAACTCCTGCAAAATCCTTGTACAAGAAGAGCAAACGCTAGCAAAGAACATGTTTACACGTAACAGCTACAACATCATTAGGCTCAACGACAGGTAATGGCGTGCTTGGATCACAATCTTTGACCCTATTGACGCCTTCGCTTAATTCTCTCGAGAGCGCCCAGCTGCTGCTCGTTGTTCTCTTGAGCACTGGAGCTTTCCTCCCTGCTCTCCGCGGCTCTCTTGCCGAGCTCGCCAAACACGGCTTCAGGGACAGCCCTCTCCGCGATCTGGACATCGTCCTCCTCGTCGCTCTCTTCGTCAGGCAGCTCGATGTCCTCGTTGTTAGCAGCAGCCTGTTGCGTGCTGCTCTCGGCCCGCGCCTCTACTCCAGCGCTGACAAAGTTCATCATTCTGTTAGCGGGAGTCGTGCTGGTGCTCGGAGCTGCTGCTGCTGGCGCAGGGGATGGTCCAGAAGCTAGCTGCCTTTCTAAGGCCGCCATCTCATCCTGCGGGACACCGGCACGCGTCAGAGTGTCGACCGCCTCGTCCATGTTTAGCCTCTGGTCCCTTTGCATCAAGTACTCCGGAAGGATGAAATGAGTCTGCACATGGCACACAAGTACAGCATCAGTTTACAGTGCAAGGATGTTCGTTGATTCCTAACCGTCTACAGAGGTTATCAATGTGACATACCTGACTGCGGCTAGCGGCCACTGTACGCTTGATGCGAAGCATCTCCCTGAATGTATCTTCATTACCGTGTTGGATCTCAAAGTCGTTCCATTTTTTCCAGAACTCTGGATGAGAATTTGGATCAGCATAGTTGGAGGCATGGATATAAATAGCCCGGGAACGGTCGATTTCTCCAAGATTTCTTTCAAGTTCCGCAAACTTCATGCACATCACCATCACATCTTTGTCCGGAAGACCAGATTCTATAGCTTGCTGCAAAGATGCCAAGAAAGCCAGGAATAAAGTTAGTACATGTATTACCACTAAAACATCTCTCGACATTGTGGGAGCAGGCAGGCTAAATCTAGAATGTAAAGTGCAGAGAAAATAACAACTGAACTTTTTTATACACAAATTTGGCCATTAGAGGAAGCATAGAAGCATCATGTGTTATGAACTATTGCAACTAATCAGCAAGGGACAAGATTAAGAAGCTGAGATCACTATAAATCTATTCCATTTGCTATGCCAGAAATCCACAAAATTGGATCTCGGAACAAGGACTTGAAAATGACAATCCAGAAAAAGCAAGAACAGAAAAGCAGAGACAAACCAAGATAATACGCTTACCTCGTATATTTGTCTGGTCCTTGGAACACCGAAAAGTTCAGCAGCACGTGCAATGTATATTTCATACATACTCATCTTTTCAGTATTGGGAACAGCCCTTACAGCTTCATCATATACATTCATGGCACGTTTTGCGAGGCCGTAGTCTTCCTCCAGTTTAGCATATTGCAAATATAAGGCCTTCTTTTCGTGCGGCGGAGCCTGAGCCAAAGAAGCAAAATGTAAGTAACAAGACAATTTATGGAACATAATATTTTAGGTGAGTATGTGATGCAGGAAAAGAACAGGTAAGAATGGTTTCTGTCTAAATAAGCAAGCAAGTGCACATATAATCGCATAACAAGAAGCGGCAACAGAAGGTTCTGAGAGAAAACAGGAAATCAACAAGTGCAAATATAGCAAAGTACAAGCAACAATGATATCAAATCACAAGAATTATTATGACCTTGTTCTTAAGCGAAGCAAAGACAGAATTTGTGATCAGACAAAAAAAAGGGCAGCCCGGTGGCTGTTTCCAGGACTCAACCGGTGACCTGGTCACAAGGCAACAGTGTTACCGCTGCGCCAAGGCTCCCCTTCAGAATTTGTAATCAGATCACCAGTTTAGAAACATCATTTGACACATGCAAGTTGGTAACAGTTCTAGTTACACGCGGTATAAGTAGACCGATGACAAAATTCAAGGGACAAGAGAATTTATTTACCTTTTCGACAGCTTCCGTGAACAGCTCTCTCGCCCGCTCTAACTTGCTTCGCTGGTACCTCTTTACAAACTTTGTGAGGTAGGTCACCCAAATATCCTTAACATGGGGATACTTGAATATTTTTACACCTCTTTCATACACTTTAAATGCATCTTCGAAATACTTGTTCTCCTGCAGAGGAAGAAAATAGTAAACAACCATTGTAGATCAATTGGACAAGTTTACTTGAAACTTCAAAAGTATGTACTTAGAGCAAAGATCCTACCTCAAGAAGAAATGCGTAATTAAGAATTATTTGAGGAGTGGCAATTCTTAAATCTAATATTCTCTCATAAACAGCACGGGTTGTTTCCAACGACCCAAGGCTCTCCTCCAGGTCAACATAGATACTCCATAATTTCAGAGATTTATGTAATTTCAGCTGGACCGGCTCGTCACCCTCGGCAGCAGCTGAAAATGTAAATCGTCAGCAAAAATGGTTTGCCAAATATACAAGAAATCAACACAACAGAACAAAATAAATTATACCTCGCCTCTTCACCTCAACAGAGGGCTCTGCTGTGGCTAACCTCATCAGCTCAATTGCCTTGTCAAAATGTTGGTTGCGGAGCTCCATTTCGGCCCATTCACACCAAATAGTAGCCAAGTGGTCCACTGCTTTATAGTTCACTTGTGTGGCCTTTTTAAAGATATCTTCAGCACTATCTAAGCGGTTATGTTTCTCGTACATCTTTGCAAATGCCACCCATAGAGTATGAGGTTTCCCAACTGCCTTCATTGGGTCCACAGTTTTCACAGCCTCGACATATGTCGCTACTTGCTTTGCGGGATCCTTGTCAAAAAGTTTCACCCTCCTGCACATATTATTGCACTGTTAGACAACTCCATCAAGTTGGAGACCACCTAAAATGAGTTTAAAAAACTAGACACAATAATTTCACATTCCACGGCATCAGCTAACTTCAAATAAGATTTGCTACTGGCTACACGAAAGAATTTAGAACTTATCCTTACAAAGAAATGCACTGAATGAATTGATTCATATTCATCTTTTGTGGCTTAATGTAAGTCAAGCAGAACTAAATGATAAATCGAGGCGCTATATCAAGTCTCACCTGTGCCACTCCTCCACATTATGTGGATTCTGTCTCAACAGGACACTGCTAAGGAGCTCTGGTCTGCGATCCAATAGTCGCTCAAACCTTGCCAGCCTCAAATCAGTGTCATCTTCATCGTTCAACCAACACGCTGCAAGTTCCTTCTCTAGCTTCTCCACCTTATTCTTCCTGCCCCCTTTCTCACCATCGTCGCTCTCTGCAGCCCCATCCTCTTCAGCTGCCTCCAGCTTTGCCGCAAGCATACTCTGCTCAAATTGTGTGTAAGCCTCAAACACCACACTGAACTCCTGCACCGTCATCACTGAAGAAACCCCCTCCTCGAAGACGTCTCTTGCTTTCTCATAGAGGGTCCTCCTGACATAGTAATCAGCGAGCGAGGTCCACAACTTGCCAACCTCGTCGGTGAACTTGCGTATCCCGCCCCGCAGTATGGCATCCACCTTGAGCCCTGCGACCTCATCAGCATGCTTAGTGAGGATGTCGCAGAGCTCGAGCCAGAGCTGGTGCCTGGTCTTCCCCTTGACAGAGCGGAAGCCATCGTCGTTGAGCACGGAGGCCAGGCGGTCGGCTGCCTCCTGCCAGCGTTCGGCCGAGACGAGGAACTCGATGAAGTCCTCGGCGTGGGAGGGGTCGAACTGGAGGTAGCGCCTGAACACGCGGAAGGACGTCTCGACGGGGCAGGCCGGGAGCGAGGCGAGGCGCAGGTAGAGCGGCCAGATGCGGTCGTGCTGCGTGACGGGCAGCGCGCGGAGGGCGCGGTCGAAGTTGCGGCGGCCGCGGGTGAGCAGGCGCTGGTCGAGCAGCGAGGTGAGGTAGAGGACCCAGACGCGCGGCATCTTGTGCATGGTGGCGAGCGCCCGCTCGAAGGTGTTGTTGAGGGAGGCGTAGGCCGGGTGGGAGATTGGGTGCGGGCGCACGTGGTCGAGGCGCTCGCGGAGGTAGGCGTGC